CTCCCCCTCCCCCATCACCAGAGGACATGCAATCCCCCCTCCCCCTCCCCCATCACCAGAGGACATGCAATCCCCCTCCCCCTCCCCCATCACCAGAGGACATGCAATCCCCCTCCCCCTCCCCCCATCACCAGAGGACATGCAATCCCCCTCCCCCTCCCCCATCACCAGAGGACATGCAATCCCCCTCCCCCTCCCCCATCACCAGAGGACATGCAATCCCCCTCCCCCTCCCCCATCACCAGAGGACATGCAATCCCCCTCCCCCTCCCCATCACCAGAGGACATGCAATCCCCTCCCCTCCCCCATCACCAGAGGACATGCAATCCCCCTCCCCCCTCCCCCATCACCAGAGGACATGCAATCCCCCTCCCCCCTCCCCCATCACCAGAGGACATGCAATCCCCCTCCCCCTCCCCCATCACCAGAGGACATGCAATCCCCCTCCCCCTCCCCCATCACCAGAGGACATGCAATCCCCCTCCCCCTCCCCCATCACCAGAGGACATGCAATCCCCCTCCCCCTCCCCCATCACCAGAGGACATGCAATCCCCCTCCCCCTCCCCCATCACCAGAGGACATGCAATCCCCCTCCCCCTCCCCCATCACCAGAGGACATGCAATCCCCCTCCCCCTCCCCCATCACCAGAGGACATGCAATCCCCCTCCCCCTCCCCCATCACCAGAGGACATGCAATCCCCCTCCCCCTCCCCCATCACCAGAGGACATGCAATCCCCCTCCCCCTCCCCCATCACCAGAGGACATGCAATCCCCTCCCCCTCCCCCATCACCAGAGGACATGCAATCCCCCTCCCCCTCCCCCATCACCAGAGGACATGCAATCCCCCTCCCCCTCCCCCATCACCAGAGGACATGCAATCCCCCTCCCCCTCCCCATCACCAGAGGACATGCAATCCCCCTCCCCCTCCCCCATCACCAGAGGACATGCACACCCCCTCCCCCTCCCCCATCACCAGAGGACATGCAATCCCCCTCCCCCTCCCCCATCACCAGAGGACATGCAATCCCCCCTCCCCCTCCCCCATCACCAGAGGACATGCAACCCCCCTCCCCTCCCCCATCACCAGAGGACATGCAATCCCCCTCCCCCTCCCCCATCACCAGAGGACATGCAATCCCCCCCCCCTCCCCCATCACCAGAGGACATGCAATCCCCCTCCCCCTCCCCCATCACCAGAGGACATGCAATCCCCCTCCCCCTCCCCCATCACCAGAGGACATGCAATCCCCCTCTCCCTCCCCCATCACAGAGGACATGCAATCCCCTCCCCCTCCCCCATCACCAGAGGACATGCAATCCCCGCTCCCCCTCCCCCATCACCAGAGGACATGCAATCCCCTCCCCCTCCCCCATCACCAGAGGACATGCAATCCCCCTCCCCCTCCCCCATCACCAGAGGACATGCAATCCCCCTCCCCCTCCCCCATCACCAGAGGACATGCAATCCCCCTCCCCCTCCCCCATCACCAGAGGACATGCAATCCCCCTCCCCCTCCCCCATCACCAGAGTACATGCAATCCCCCTCCCCCTCCCCCATCACCAGAGGACATGCAATCCCCCTCCCCCCTCCCCCATCACCAGAGGACATGCAATCCCCCTCCCCCTCCCCCATCACCAGAGGACATGGCAATCCCCCTCCCCCCTCCCCCATCACCAGAGGACATGCAAATCCCCCTCCCCCTCCCCCATCACCAGAGGACATGCAATCCCCCTCCCCCTCCCCCATCACCAGAGGACATGCAATCCCCCTCCCCCTCCCCCATCACCAGAGGACATGCAATCCCCCTCCCCCTCCCCCCATCACCAGAGGACATGCAATCCCCCTCCCCTCCCCCATCACCAGAGGACATGCAATCCCCCTCCCCCTCCCCCATCACCAGAGGACATGCAATCCCCCTCCCCCTCCCCCATCACCAGAGGACATGCAACCCCCCTCCCCTCCCCCCATCACCAGAGGACATGCAACCCCCCTCCCCCTCCCCCATCACCAGAGGACATGCAACCCCCCTCCCCCTCCCCCATCACCAGAGGACATGCAACCCCCCTCCCCCTCCCCCATCACCAGAGGACATGCAACCCCCCTCCCCCTCCCCCATCACCAGAGGACATGCAACCCCCTCCCCCTCCCCCATCACCAGAGGACATGCAAACCCCCCTCCCCCTCCCCCATCACCAGAGGACATGCAACCCCCCTCCCCCTCCCCCATCACCAGAGGACATGCAACCCCCTCCCCCTCCCCCATCACCAGAGGACATGCAACCCCCTCCCCCTCCCCCATCACCAGAGGACATGCAAACCCCCCTCCCCCTCCCCCATCACCAGAGGACATGCAATCCCCCTCCCCCTCCCCATCACCAGAGGACATGCAACCCCCCTCCCCCTCCCCCATCACCAGAGGACATGCAATCCCCCTCCCCTCCCCATCACCAGAGGACATGCAATCCCCCTCCCCCTCCCCCATCACCAGAGGACATGCAATCCCCCTCCCCCTCCCCCATCACCAGAGGACATGCAACCCCCCTCCCCCTCCCCCATCACCAGAGGACATGCAACCCCCCTCCCCCTCCCCCATCACCAGAGGAACATGCACCCCCCCTCCCCCTCCCCCATCACCAGAGGACATGCAATCCCCCTCCCCCTCCCCCATCACCAGAGGACATGCAATCCCCCTCCCCCTCCCCCATCACCAGAGGACATGCAATCCCCCTCCCCTCCCCCATCACCAGAGGACATGCAATCCCCCCCTCCCCCTCCCCCCATCACCAGAGGACATGCAACCCCCCTCCCCTCCCCCATCACCAGAGGACATGCAACCCCCCTCCCCCTCCCCCATCACCAGAGGACATGCAATCCCCCTCCCCCTCCCCCATCACCAGAGGACATGCAATACCCCTCCCCCTCCCCCCATCACCAGAGGACATGCAACCCCCCTCCCCCTCCCCCATCACCAGAGGACATGCAACCCCCCCTCCCCCTCCCCCATCACCAGAGGACATGCAACCCCCCTCCCCCTCCCCCATCACCAGAGGACATGCAACCCCCTCCCCCTCCCCCAATCACCAGAGGACATGCATCCCCCTCCCCCTCCCCCATCACCAGAGGACATGCAATCCCCCTCCCCCTCCCCCATCACCAGAGGACATGCAACCCCCCTCCCCCTCCCCCATCACCAGAGGACATGCAAACCCCCTCCCCCTCCCCCATCACCAGAGGACATGCAACCCCCCTCCCCCTCCCCCATCACCAGAGGACATGCAACCCCCCTCCCCCTCCCCCATCACCAGAGGACATGCAACCCCCCTCCCCCTCCCCCTCCCCCATCACCAGAGGACATGCAACCCCCCTCCCCCTCCCCCCATCACCAGAGGACATGCAACCCCCCTCCCCCTCCCCCATCACCAGAGGACATGCAACCCCCCTCCCCCTCCCCCATCACCAGAGGACATGCAACCCCCCTCCCCTCCCCCATCACCAGAGGACATGCAACCCCCCCTCCCCCTCCCCCCATCACCAGAGGACATGCAACCCCCCTCCCCCTCCCCCATCACCAGAGGACATGCAACCCCCCTCCCCCTCCCCCATCACCAGAGGACATGCAACCCCCCTCCCCCTCCCCCATCACCAGAGGACATGCAACCCCCCTCCCCCTCCCCCATCACCAGAGGACATGCAACCCCCCTCCCCCTCCCCCATCACCAGAGGACATGCAACCCCCCTCCCCCTCCCCCATCACCAGAGGACATGCAACCCCCCTCCCCCTCCCCCATCACCAGAGGACATGCAACCCCCCTCCCCCTCCCCCATCACCAGAGGACATGCGCTGAGACGAGGACGAGTCTATGTTGGTGGTCAGATCCTGGCGGAATACGGGCTGCTCGCCGCTGACCTTCACGCCAGCTGTTAACCACTCCCCGCATTCCCCCTCTACCATCCACCCCCTCCAACACCACCCCACCCACACCCATCTCTTCACACCAGAGGACATGCGGTGAGACGAGAGGACGAGTCTCTGTTGGTGGCGGAATACGGGCTGCTCGATGCAGCCCTCCACGCCTGCTGTTAACCACTTCTCCTCACCCGCCGCCCCTTACTCCCGTTTCACGCCCCCCACCCCGCCCACCACCAGAGGACATGCGGTGAGACGAGGAAGAGCCTCTGCTGGTGGCGGAATACGGTCTGCTCGACGCTGACCTCCACGCCTGCTGTTAACCACTCCCCGCATTCCCCCTCTACCATCCACGCCTGCTGTTATTGGTGCGACTTTTGAGAATTCTCAAAAGCTCGACGCTGACCTTCACGCCTGCTGTTAACCACTCCCCTCACCCCACCTCACCCCCTTCCCCTTCAACCCCCACCATCCCTCATCAGCAGAGGACGTGCAGTCAGACAAGGACGAATCCTTGCTGGTGGCGGAGTATGGGCTGCTCAACACCGGCCTGGCGCGCCTGCTTCTAATCACCAACCCAGTCCCCCCGCCCCTTCCCTCCCAACCCTACCCCACTCCCCCCATCTCCCCATCAGCAGAGGACGTGCGGTCAGACGAGGACGAATCCTTGCTGGTGGCGGAGTATGGGCTGCTCGACGCCGACCTGGCGCGCCTGCTTCTAATCACCAACCCACTCCCCCCGCCCCTTCCCTCCCAACCCTACCCCACTCCCCCCATCTCCCCATCAGCAGAGGACGTGCGGTCAGACGAGGACGAATCCTTGCTGGTGGCGGAGTATGGGCTGCTCGACGCCGACCTGGCGCGCCTGCTTCTAATCACCAACCCACTCCCCCCACCCCTTCCCTCCCAACCCTACCCCACTCCCCCCATCTCCCCATCAGCAGAGGACGTGCGGTCAGACGAGGACGAATCCTTGCTGGTGGTGGAGTATGGGCTGCTCGACGCCGACCTGGCGCGCCTGCTGTTCACCACTTCACTTCTTCCCACCCAGCCACCCCCTCCCCCCACCTCACCCATAACCAGAGGACGTGTGGTCAGAAGAGAACGAGTCTCTGTTGGTGGGGGAATATGGGCTGCTCACTGCTCCACACCGACCTGGCGCGCCTGCTGTTCACCACTTCACTTCTTCCCACCCTCCCCATCGCGTCACAACAGAGGACGTGCGGTCAGACGAGGACGAATCCTTGCTCGTCGCGGAATATGGTCTGCTCGATGCTGACCTGGCGCGGCTGCGCACGGCTGTGGACAGAAACGAGGCGATTCTTATCGAGGATGAGGAGCTGGAGGCACTGGCGATCGACATTCCTGGTAGGGCTTGTGTGCTGTGTGCAGTGTGCAGTGTGCTGTGTGCTGTGTGCTGTGTGCAGTGTGCTGTGTGGTTGCCATGTCTTGAAATGGGCCGTATCAAGGGACTTGCTAATCACCACATGATTCTTATTGAGGACGAGGAGCTGGAGGCACTGGCGGTCGACATTCCTGGTAGGAATCTTGGTCTCTCCCGGTTGAGCTGTTTTCCTTTCTGCTCCTCTGTGGGGTTGCTTCTTATGGGCCGGTTCATTGGCCTCAAAAACCCCCTTCATGATTCTTATCGAGGATGAGGAGCTGGAGGCACTGGCGATCGACATTCCTGGTAGGGCTTCTTAACTTTACTCCCAGTGCGGTGGACACGTGACTAAATCAACTATAGTCTCCGGCTGATGACTATCGCATTCTCCATGATCCCACGTCTCCAACAGTATGACACTCAAGTCAATGCAAAAGTTGATGCTGCTGCAAGTCGTCTATACGAGCGCAGCGAATTTCAGAAGCTGGAGATTTGTATTTCCAGAATGGGTTGCAAATCGTTCAAGAGCAAGAGCAAGAGCGAGAGCGAGAGCGAGAGCGAGAGCGAGAGCGAGAGCGAGAGCGAGAGCAAGAGCAAGAGCAAGAGCAAGAGCAAATGCGATTTGTAGCACTGCAGCAGCGCGCACAGGGCAGGTGGGCAGGGCAGGGCAACACACCCCGTGCTCCTTCTCCTCCTCTTTCAGCTCCCCCCGTTCACACCCCATGTGCCTCCCAACGCACCTTCCTCCCCCTGTGTCTCCCCCCCACACCTCAAGTTCCGGCTGGGCATAATGGAGGAGCCATCAGTGCCGCTGCAGCAGCGCTCCCCTCGTCTTCACCCCAATCCGACACACCTTCCTCTCCCTCCCCCCTTCCCCCCCTCCCCCAGACCTCAAGTTCCGGCTGGGCATAATGGAGGAGCCATCAGTGCCGCTGCAGCAGTGTGCACAGGGAAGGTGGGCGAGGGCTGCAACACACCCTGCACTCCTCTTACACCCCCTCCTCTCCCTTTCCTATCCCCCTCTCAGACCTTGAGTTCCGGCTGGGCATAATGGAGGAGCCATCGGTGTCGCTGCAGCAGCTCTTTCCCCCATTTGCTCCTCAATCGGACACACTTTCCTCTCCCCCCCCTTCCTCCCCTCCAACCCCTCCCACCCACCCACCAGACCTCAAGTTCCGCCTAGGCATAATGGAGGAGCCATCAGTGCCGCTGCAGCAGCGTGCACAGATGACGGTAGAGGAGGCGAAGGGCAAGGTGGGCGAGGGCGCGTCCTTCTTCGCGCGAGGCGTGCGGCTGCTCGCAGGCGACGTGGCGTACTCTGCCCGGCTCTTCTGGGTCGCTGCTACCGGCACCACACTCAAGGCCAGAGAGGTGAGAGGATTGCTCCTTCGGTATACTGAGAGGATTGCTCCTTCGGTATACTGAGAGGATTGCTCCTTCGGTATACTGAGAGGATTGCTCCTTCGGTATACTGGTCTAATTTTTGCACTCACATGGCGTCCTTCTTCTGGTTTTGAGACGTCTCAAAACTGGTCTAATTTTTGCACTCACATGGCGTCCTTCTTCTGGTTTTGAGACGTCTCAAAACTGGTCTAATTTTTGCACTCACATGGCGTCCTTCTTCTGGTTTTGAGACGTCTCAAAACTGGTATAATTTTCGCACTCACATGGCGTCCTTCTTCTGGTTTTGAGACGTCTCAAAACTGGTCTAATTTTTGCACTCACATGGCGTCCTTCTTCTGGCAAGGAGTGCGCCTGCTGGCGAGCGATGTGGCGTACTCTGCCCGGTTGTTCTGGGTCGCTGCTACCGGCACAACACTGAAGGCCAGAGAGGTGAGAGGATTGTCCCTTATTAAGTTTAATATAGTGGTACCGTATACTTTTTCCACTCATGATAGGTACTTCTTCTAGCGGGGAGTGCTGCTAGCGGAAGATGTGGCGTACTCTGCTCTGTTCTTCTGGGTTGGTGCCCCTGGGACCACGCTCAAAGCCAGAGCGTGCTCCCAGTGGCAAACTCTCCTTCTCAGGTGCAAACTCTCCGCCGCACGGCAACCGATCTTCTGGTGGTGATTCCCTTCGCCATTATCCTCATCGCCCCCATCACCTCTGCTTTTCCCCCACCCTTCCCAACCCCCAGGTCCAAACCCTTCGCCACACAGCGACCGATCTGCTCGTCGTAATCCCCTTCGCCATCATCCTCATCGCACCCATCACCCCTGCTTTCCCCTTCCTATATCTGTCCCCCTTTTCCCTTTTAAGGTGCAAACCCTGCGTCGCACGGCAACCGACCTGCTGGTCGTGATCCCTTTGCCATCATCCTCATCGCCCCCATCACCCCTTCCATGCCATCCTTTCCTCTCTCACCCTACCCCAACCCCAGGTGCAAACCCTGCGTCGCACAGCAACCGACCTGCTGGTGGTGATCCCCTTCGCCATCATCCTCATCGCACCCATCACCCCGGTGGGCCACGTGGCTGTCTTCGGCTTCCTCCAGCGCTACTTCCCGGGCTTCTTCCCCTCCGCCTTCTCCTCTCGGTATGTCCCCAGCTTGAATGAAACCCTTCACCTACCAGTACGATCTCCAGTGACAATCACAAGCCGTCTCATCGCACCAGTAAGCCATGTGGGCCACGTGGCTGTCTTCGGCTTCCTCCAGCGCTACTTCCCGGGCTTCTTCCCCTTCGCCTTCTCCTCTCGGTATGTTCTCAAACCCATCTTGAAGCTCCTCGAATGAGACAATCTCTAAGGCTCCTAGAGAGAGCCCCCCTCATCCTTCTCCTCCCAGAGTTTGTTCTTTGAGAAGGGTGAAGGATCCCCATCCTTCCTTCTCATGAGAGAACCCTGAATCAATCAAACATGAGTCAATCAAACATGAGTCTTTTCAGTACACCCAAATTCTACGGCACCCATTTAGTCCCCTCACCCCATTCCCATTCCCCTCACCTGCTTCTTACCTTAGACACAGTCATGCATCTTTTCATCATTTGAGGCGCCTCAAAAGTAGACCTTAGACGCAGCCATGAGTCTTTTCATCACCTGGTACTTGCACAACCCCACTTTGAGGCTCCCTAAGTGAGAATCGTCTCTTTCTCTGCGACCCCACTGCCCTCGACACTGGTGGGCCACGTGGGCATCTTAGGTTTTCTCCAATCTTTCTCGCCTTATGAGAATTCTCAAAAGTCGCACCAATACACCCCACTACCCTCGACACTGGTGGGCCATGTGGGCATCTTAGGTTTCCCCCAATCTTTCTCGCCTCCCAGCTTCTACCCCTCACCCGTCTATTCTCGTCAGAGGTGATAGCTCGATATGATAACCTCAGGCTACAGATGGCTACAGCCTCACTGTCTTGTCTCATTATCACCCCTGTTGTCATTTTTTCCTATGATGATTCCCTCCTCTACTCTCCTCTCCCCCAACCACAGCCGGAAAGAGGTGATGGTTCGTTATGAGAATCTCAAGCTACAGATGGCTACAGCCTTGGGATCCTGTCTTGTTGCCACCCCTCTTGCTGCCCTTCGTGATGTTAGCACCTTCCCTTACTCCCCCCCCCACCCAACCACAGCCGGCAAGAGGTGATGGTTCGTTATGAGAACCTCAAGCTACAGATGGCTACAGCATCGGGATCTGAGAAGGAGAAAGTTCAAGCCATGGCTGCCGCAGCGGCCACTGAGACCTTCGAAGCTTCTGAGGAAGATTCCGCAGGAGGCGGAGGGATGGGGATGCACGGGGGAGTGGGAGGAGGTTCAGGGGGAGGAGGCATGGGGATGGGGATGGGTGGGTTTGCATTCGGGCTTGGGTTTGGGAGAGGGGAGAACGTCGGCGGGCAATCGTCGAGAATTTGGAGAGACGAGCGGGCGAAGCTGCTGCTGCTGCAGGAGAAGCTTCCGGGAATCTCCCGCCTGGTGTCGAGCTTGAGAGAAGCAGATGGGAGGAGAGATGGGGAGGCAGGGGAGAAGGCGGAGGGGGGACTGGCTTCATCCCTGCAAGCCTTGGCGTCACCTCTCTTGTCATCTTCTGGTGTTACACCCTCGCCGCCCCCCCCGTCATCACCTACTTCTGCCTCTTCCTCTGAAGCCGGAGTGACTGCTGCTGCTGCTGCTGCTGCTGCTGCTGCTGCTGCTGCTGCTGCTGCTGCCGTTGCTGATATCACTGCTCCTGCAGCGGCTGCTGCTGAATCTGCGGCTGCTCTAGAGTCACCCTTGAAGCAAGAAGAGCCAAGCATCAGCGAACTGCCTCAGGAGAAAATCCGGTAGTGCTAACGATGTCTGATATATGCCAATCTATAAGGGCTTTATTTTGCGAGGAAACAGAACAGTCAAGACCATTCAGGCCTGTTTATTGTTTGGGTGTTTTTTATTGGGGTTGCTGGGTCTGTCTGGTAGAGGCAGTTGTTGGGTTGGATTCAAAGTGCTTCAGCAGTGGAAAGAGAGGAGATGTGTACCTTTTTATTATCTGAGTCACTGTCAGACTTGTAAGCAGGGCTTTGTCAGATTAAGTAAATCATGGCCACCTTTTGAACACAAGATAAAGAGAGTTTCTATGGTACTGTTCTCTGCTTTAGTTGCTAATTTCATATAAATTTGTTGGCAATGTAGCACTTGAAGGTGCACTTCAAAAAATGAAACATGTTATTCCAGAGGGATTAGTTAGTGCACCTGTTCGTTCGTATAGTGAGTGAATGCCAAATCATGAATATTGCTACCAGAACATCAACATGTGTATTTTTTTCATTTGAAGTGTAAGGCTAAATGACATTATTGGGCATTTTTCTTCCATCCATGGGCTTTCAGTGTAAGGCTAAAAGACGTGTATTGTTATGAGCCGAATGACCTAGTAAGTTTTGTGTTGTGTGGCGCCTGGGTGAAGTCGAGCTTGCCAATATCGCACTCCTTGCACCTAGCCAGCAAACCACCCATGTGGTGTTCAAATTCCTCCATCTGCTAATTACCACAGCTTTCGGGTTCGGTGGTGCTTTGGATGGAGACACTCTCCTCTTCGATGATAGTTCCTTGACCCGATGATAACGAACCAGAATGCTGGCTGAGGGTGATAGGTGGATAACGGTAACTGCCCAGCCCTCCAGAGGAATACCTCATCACACATCACTGCATCAACTACTCGTGGCAATTATCGAGCTGCCCTATCAGCACCTGCTGACGCATGTGACGTGGAGCTTGACACTTAGTACGCGGCTCGCCAAGTGGCAGGCCCACATCGGCCCTGAACCTCGACTTTAAAGTTGACTATTGGACGAGACGAAGGGGAGAGATCTAGTGACTGTAATCTAGGCCTTGTTCACTTTCGTCGCAGCGCAGTCCGAGGTACAAATGTCAGCATGGATGAGAAACTCTTCAATTCATCACATCGCCGAATTTAGTTTTTTGCCCAAGTTCAGATTTTCTAGTTTCGCTCAGGCGAGTTAGAATTTCGTTGAATCTGAGCATCAAAAGCTTCGTTACTTTCTATTTCTATCCATGGCTTCCACCGTCTTCGCCAAGGAGGTGAGCTTGATGACGTGGTTATCATGGAAAGACCTGCCCTTTCGCTTTAGAAACAGTGTGATCTGGAATATTTCTCAATGTCAGCACTAGCTGGTATGTAGTTCAACGAGAATATTAATCGCATGCGCGATAAATTTCCTCCTTTTTGCAGGCTACTCCCGCCGCCGTCGAGTCTATCCAGACCAACTTCCCCGGCTCCGTGGAGGAGACTACTTACGTCGCGTCCGTCGCCGACAAGCTCAAGGAGCACGGGTTCACCAAGGACAACAGCATCGCGCTCGTAAGCACGTGCCGTGACGAGGCGTCGCGTCTGCTCGACGCCACCATTGACAAGCACTTCGGCCTCACCTTCGCGCTCAACGGCCTAGCGGGAGTGCCGCCCGGTGGCGCGCTTGCAATCAAGGCCGGCGCGTCTCACAGCCCGCAGGACGAGAGCGGCAAGGAGCGATGTAAGTGGATGTGTCAGTATTATGCGACACAAATCTGTCAGCAAGTCAAATTTGTCAGCGGGTAGTTTATCATGACGAATTAATTTACGTGGCGACGAGTGATGCGATTCCTAGGACACTTTCGGAGGTCGCCGCAACGGTTACAATGCCAGTTCTCCTTGGTTATCCTCATCCTGGGACCGGTCTGGATGGGATGAAACAGGATGCTAGCTTCGAAGTTTCAGTTCCTGAACGGCCCTTTGCTAGAGAGTTCGCTTCCCCCTCTCAAGTTTCAACGCAATTTATGTTTCCAGCTTCTCTCTTATTCATCGTTTATCTCACCTCTTCCTCTCTCATTCCTCATCCTCTTCTCTCCATAACCCTATCCAGATGTCTTCTTCGGTCTGACCCACATCGGTGTTGACGAGACTGGCGCCATCGGTAAGATGCGCCGCGAAGGCCGCTCCGCGGCTTCCGGCGCGTGCGGCGCGCTTCTCGCGCTGACCGCGCAGTTCAGCGCGAGCAAGGACCTCCCGGAGCCGTCTGAGGACGATCTCGAGGTGCACAACCTGACGAAGAAGCTCCTCGCGGTGAACCCCGAGCCGAACATCGTGGCGGTTACCAAGGCGGCTGTCGATGTTATCAACAGCACGCTGGAGCATCTGATCAGCGTGGCCGTTGACAGCACGAAGGCGGATTACGCCGTGATCACCGGCGTGCAGATCCACTCCGGCAACAACGTAAGTTGGGGAATTGCGGAACGAGCAGGTCACGGGATTGGCCGAAACATTGTCGATTTCAAGTTTGTTTCGCTTCCTTCGGCTGGGTTCGGTACACGTATAGCTCATTCCCCTGTTCGGTTGTCGATTTCAAGTTTGTTTCAAATTTCTTTATTTATCCTAAATCTAACAATAACTCCCCTTATCGTGATTCTCTGACATTCTGCAGCCCGTGGGCACGGAATTCAAGCTGGAGAACACCGTCGAGTACATCACCCCGTCGCTCGCCTACGTGGTTGTTGACGGAGTCAAGAAGGAGCTGTCCCTGTAAATTCCTAATTTATGACCATCTTTTACCCCACGGGCCTCGATGGCGTAGCGACGCGCAAGTGTCGCAGCAGGGCCTTGTGAGTCCCTATTTTTCGGTATCCTTGCCGTGGGATGTAATTTTGGTTGATATGTTATTTTTTGTTAAATAATAAATTGAAGATATTTACAAAGCGATCCATGGTGAACCCCACTCTACATGCTTCGGCCTTGCCACATAGCGGCAAGGAATTTGGCCATTTACCAGCATACAGGTTGCACAGTTCTACCGCAGACTCTGGAGGAGACTAGATTAGTCGTTTAGCCTCGGTGCAACTAATCCATTTGGAGTCCTACCCTACTCCGGATTCTCTGCTCCTCAACGTAAGTGTCAAATGTAATTCTTTGCGACTGAATGCATCTAGTCATGTTCGCCTGCCGTCGCCACGCATGGATAAAGGGGTGGAGTGCAACTTTCCCATAGCGATTTCGTGCCAGTGAGTGAAAGCTCCATCCTGTCAGTGACTCATGATGAAGGTGATCATTTGATCCTCTCGGGAGAGTTTCGCGAGTCAGGGCATAAGCGACTTCGATGCTTGTTATAAGGTAAGTATCAAGAATGCCTAGATATAAAACACTGACCATAATAGTTATTACGACGGCATGTATTACGAGAAAATACTCGCGATATACGAAAACGGTTACACCATATAATATTTTTATTTCCTAGATTTCAGACACTTCTGCTGGAAATGGAGGCAAGCCCCATGGGACAGGATCGAAGTTCAACAATGATGGAAGAACGAGTGAAGCGTTAGTGCAGAGAGCAGCATCCACATTTGGATCTGGCACCATCACCACCCACCTACAAACGGGAAAAAAAGAATGAAGTGAGTAGAAAAAAAAAAAACGCAAGCAGCAACCCTTTTTTCCGTTTCAGACTACCGTATTAAAAAAAAAAAAAAAAAAAAAAAGGTCAAAATATGCATATAGTGTACAGTGCGTGATACTGTGTACAGGTACAGGCACACTCACATTCCAGCATTCCTGGCAGCATCAACGCCCAGTGGAGCATCCTCAAATACAAGCACGTTGTCTGGTGACGGTGGGGGCTGATGGGAGAACAGGGTGCAGTAGACAGTTGTAGATAGGGATAGAGAGGGGTAGAAAGGGTTAGTCACCAGCAGCAACAGCAGCAGCACCCAGTGGAGCATCCTCAAATTCAAGCACGTTGTCTGGCGACGGTGGGGGCTGATGGGAGAACAGGGTGCGGTAGACAGTTGTGGGCAGGGATAGAGAGGGGTAGAAAGGGTTAGTCACCAGCAGCAACAGCAGGCTGCAGCACCCAGTGGAGCATCTCCAAACACCGCGACATTGTCTGGCGACTGTGAGGGAGTATGGGTGTGAGGGAGGGAGGGAGCTAAGGAGCATTTGAGAAAAGGAAGGAACTTGGAGACATAATTTTCTCGAATCTGAGTGGTTAGACACTATCTGTGAGCTCAAATGTGGACTTAATGAGAGGCATCCGACCGGACAGATTGTGGTTTTGCATTAGAGATATTCAGTTTGTGACTCATTCACCCTCCGGAAACGCACGTGCAGTTTCGAGACATTGCAGAGCAGGCCAGCCAGATTGTGCGCCTGCATCAGAGACATTATCGTGACTCAACCACTCTCCAGATATGCACAACCACTATATTATTATTATATTAACAAAAATAAAATATACTTTTGTTTGTTTGTTTGGTTTGATTTGTTTTGTTATTTTTCACTCTCGATCACAGCGGAAGTACTCACATCGAATCTTGCAGCTGCCACTCTGAAGACGTCCGGAGCGGGCTTGCCATTGACAACCTCGGGATCATCCCCGAGCACAGAGTGACGCATGAGAGAGAAGAGGGCCGTGTGGTTGGCCGTCTTGAGTCCAAAGTGGATCTTGTGAGAGCTGGTGGTGGGGAGGTGACAGTGGCAGGAGGATACGAAGTAAGGAGGGGAGGGGGACACGGAGACAACCTCGGGATCATCCCCGAGCACACAGTGATGCATGAGAGCGAACAGGGCCGTGTGGTGGCATGTTTTCAGCCCAAAGTGAATCTCGTGAAAGCTGGTGGTGGGTGGCAACAGCAGCAGCAGCAGGAGGGGGAGGGGCGGGAATGAGGGGGAGAAGAGGCATTCGGGAACCTCGGGATCATCCCCGAGCACAGAGTGCCGCATGAGAGAGAAGAGGGCCGTGTGGTTGGCCGTCTTGAGTCCAAAGTGGATCTTGTGAGAGCTGGTGGTAGGGGAGAGGGGGGATTGAGACACGCGCACAACCTTGGGATCGTCCCCAAGCACACAGTGACGCATGAAGGCAAACAGCTCCCCGTGATTGGTCGTCTTGACGCCAAAGTGAATCTTGTGAGAGCTGTTGGGGACAGTGGCGGGGGGTAAAGGGAAGGGTAAGGGCACAGGGAAACCTCGGGATCATCCCCGCGCACACAGTGATGCATGAGGGCGAATAGCTCCCCATGGTTCACTGTCTTTAGGCCGAAGTGGATCTTGTGAGAGCTGGTGGGGACAGTGGTTGTAAGGGAAGAGGCAAGGAGTGGAAAGAGACACTTGCATGAGGGAAGGGAACGGCACGTGGAGATAACGTTTCCAATGGACATGTGAATAGCTCCCTGTGGTTGCCCGGCTTGAGGTCAACATGGATCAATGAGGGAAGCTCTTTTGAAGAGCTCTCAAAAGGGAATGGAAAAACACTCATCACTCACTCAATGACTCACTCACCCATTCACCCACTCACTCACTCACTCACTCACTCACTCACTCACTCACTCACTCTCACTCACTTAACCACTCACTCATTAACTCACTCACCCGATTCCAATGGCCATGGGAATGTTGTCGCTCACTCGCTTACTCAGCCATCCACCCATCCACTTATTCACTCACTCACGCACCCACCCACCCACTCAAACACTCACTCACTCACTCACTCACCCAGTTCCAATGGCCATGGGAATGTTGTGCTCGTGCAGATGCCGAATCAATCGCTCCGCTCCTGACAACAGACAAAGATGACGGAGTGAGGGGGGTTGGAAAGAAGACTGGGAGGGGGGTTGAGATTGAGAGAAGCCACAACATGGTTGTAGTGAAGATGGTTGAAGATGGTACCTCATGGAACAGTTGAAGTGAAACATCTCTGCATCAGAGAACCCATGTGCCATGAAACACCCGAGAGCACTCAACTAGTCCAACCAATCAACCTCAACTACTCTCAATCGCTCACAAACAGCTCTCAACCTCTCTCCGCACCTGGCAGAAGCTTGCAGTGGGGGAACTCCTCCCTCAGCGGCGCCTCTCTCTCCCTCAGAAACTCCTCTGCGCTCATCTCCCCCTGCAGACCCAGCTCTCCACCACCACCTGCGCCACCTCCACCGCTGTCAACCGCACTCGACCACTCTTGACCGCTTACCACCCTAAGTGGGAATATACGCGTATAGCGTATATACGCGTGTCGTATATACGCTAGCGTATATACGCTATCCGCTTAGGGGTCCGGTTTGCAGATACGCTTTTTCGGGCAGAGGAAAAACTTTCCGGGCAGGTGAAAAAAGTACTCCCTCTTCTTATTAAGGCTTGCCCTAGCATAATCCTGAATCCGAATGACTAGTACAATGGGAGGTGGAGTAGACCTAATAGCTTGAAAGCGAAGTAGCGTGAACTCTGGTGAAAGCGGGAACGAAATGACGAGTTAGGGTTAAGTACCGTGAGATTTGTTGGGGGGTTAAATTTGACAGGTTGGTGTTTGTAGATAAAGTGGGGTTCAATGCGGTAGAAGGGATGGATTTCAATCCCTATATGAATCTCAAATTCAAGATTTGCCAGACGACTTCGAAGTCAGATCCCCGTTTGCCTAGACCGCGGATTTGAATTTCGACTATGGCGAAATGCTCACCTAGGAATTCCGCATCTTTTTTGCGATTTTTTTTCGGGCAGCCCTAAAAATTTTCTGATAGCGTATAGCGTATTCGCTAGCGTATAGCGGATAGCGTATGTACGCTAGCGTACATACGCTATACGCTTAAGGTGTTAAGCGTATATTCCCACTAAGTTACCACCACACTCAACCAGTCCCCTGCCTACCTGGTAACAGCTTGCCTTGTGAGAACTCCTCCCTCTCCCTCTCCCTCAGAAACTCCTCCGCGCTCATCTCCCCCTGCAGCCCCAGCTCCTCTATCACCACCTGTGCCGCCTGAACTCTTCTGAACCGTTTCAACCACTCTCAACCGCTCTCAACCACTCTCAACCACCCTCCATACCTGGCAGCAGCTTGCAGTGGGGGAACTCCTCCCTCAGAAGATTCTCCCTTTCCTTTAAAAACTCCTCCGCGCTCATCTCCCCCTGCAGCCCCAGCTCCTCTATCACCACCTTTGCTGCCTCTGCGGCCTTCTTGCCCATCATCTTGACCTTGAGCGCCCACGTGAACTCGCGATTGAATCGCGAGAGAATGCGCTGCTGCGCTACCGTGTACAGACCTTCAGTGTCTGTGGAAGGGACAGGGGACAGGGGATAGGGGACAGGGGACAGGGGACAGGGGACAGGGGACAGGGGACAGGGGACAGGGGGACAGGGGGACAGGGGACAGGGGACAGGGGACAGGGGACAGGGGACAGGGGGACAGGGGGACAGGGGGACAGGGGACAGGGGACAGGGGGACAGGGGGACAGGGGGACAGGGGGAGAGGAGGACAGGGGGAGAGGGAGGACAAGGGGAGAGGGAGGACAAGGGGAGAGGGAGGACAAGGGGAGAGGGAGGACAAGGGGAGAGGGAGGACAAGGGGAGAGGGAGGACAAGGGGAGAGGGAGGACAAGGGGAGAGGGAGGACAAGGGGAGAGGGAGGACAAGGGGAGAGGGAGGACAAGGGGAGAGGGAGGACAAGGGGGGCAATTTCGCTGCTGGGCTTTAGTGTACAGACCCTCGGTGTCTGGAAGAGGCGGACAGGGGGACGGGTCGACAGGTGAGTTCTTTCAAGGTCGAAGCAACGTTACGAGCCGCCTGGAGATTGCACGCCTTAAACCGCAGAGAATGAGGCCGTCCATTGTCGACCCCCTGTTGTGAGGCGACTACCCATGGTATCACTACCCATGGTATGAGCCGTCATGAACCGTTATGAGCCGGTATGAACCGTTATGAACTGTTATCATGGTTTAACTTACCAAGGATGAGGCCGTCCATGTCGAACCCCCGTTATAAGCTGCCTCGAGGCCCATTGTACGAGCCGTTACGAAGTGGACCTCAGCTCGCCAAGAATGTGGCTGTTCATGTCGAAGACGACGTGCGAGATGCGACTCGAGGCTCATGGTAGGAGCCTTTATGAGCCGTTGGGAGCCCTTATGAGCCTTTATGAGCCGTTGGGAGCCATTATGAGCCGCTGCTACGCGTCAGCTCACCGAGAATGAGGCCGTCCATGTCGAAGATGACGTGCGTGATGCGACGCGGAACCGTCGCTTGCTCCCCCATTGCGACCCAGCACCAGCAGACGGAAAACAAGTCTTTCAGTGCAATGCGAGACCCGATTTGACTTTTGAGTCGACTCTTGAGTTTTGAATCGACTCTTGAGTTTTGAATCGACTCTCGAGTTTTGAGTCGACTCTTGAGTTTTGAATCGACTCTTGAGTTTTGAGTCGACTCTTGAGTTTTGAGTCGACTCTTGAGTTTTGAGTCGACTCAAAAGTCGATGCGAGACCCGATTGGCGGTTGTCGATTGGCCGGGTACCGATCCAATCCGACCCAGGGACCTGAGATTGTCTCAGGCTCGACCTGACGTAGAATGCTAAATTGATCACAATGTCTTCTAAGTAAGAATTGTCAGAGCCAACTTGCGGGGAAAACACAACTATTGCGCAGTACCTCAGTTTCGCAAAGGGCGTGTAGCATGAAGTGTACCTTGACAAAAAGCACAGCTGGATTGAGGCTACTACGGACATCGTCACAGGCAAAGTATTTTCACGACACACATGGTAGTGTTTTGGGTTTCAGATCAAGTTCGAGGCCTGTCCCGAGTTCCACGCCCTAGCTCATATACCTCGACAAAAACTGGTCCGTCATTTCGTTCGGAAATATTAACTGTATGTGGTATGTGTGATGTTCTATATGAACATACTGGAAGCAAGAGGAAACGCGCCTAAGTGTCGCTATTCTGTTGACATGTTTTTGGGATGTCTTCACTGACGCACTCGCTTCTGTCACAGGGCGGTACCCATGTGGTATTTTCCCGCCAAAACTCTGCCTCCTCACAGCCGTTCACCTCGAGATGTGCTTTCGGAACTGGATTTCGCTCAAGCGTGACGACGCTTTTTCCATGCGGTAACCGGACGTCGCGAAAGCATCAGAAGCTCCTCCCCAACTTTCTCCCCTCCCCACCCCAGCCCGCCATTTTTGGTGGATCCCAGTAGCAGCCCGTCGCTAAGTGCTACTGCTACTGGTTCCTAATTTTCAGTACGGTCCTCCAGACATTTTTGTCGTTGGTCCCCGATCTTTGGCAGTCGCTGCAACACTCCTCTATCGGTAGTTATTAGTTTAGTGCCGCGGTTTTTGTATCTTGTCCTCAAGATTGGTCTGGCCTACTCTCGTAAACCGCGTTTCCGTAGCTAGGGCTGTCACACCGCCGATCGTTTCTGCTATAAGCTGCTAATTGCGCGGCTCGCGCGGAATGGGTTGACCCGTTCCGCAGCCATTACTCCGTGGCTAAAGTTACGTTGTAACCCAATCTACGCACCACCGGATTCCTAGTTTTCAAACCAGGGGCTTTATCACCTAAACACCTCGAATCTAGTGCCGGACGGCATAACCCGATGGACTCTTGATCCCTTGTCCCTTTGTCCCTGATCCAGCCATAAAAACCAAATCACATTAATCTTCACGCTCCACGATGTTCGGAATCGACTTTAGCGCGTGGGTGCCGTCGCCGCCTCCGGAGCACGCGTTTTCAGGCACGGCGGCGGTGGTGGTGTCGCTGGTATGCACGGTGCTCGCCGTGTTTCTCTCCGTACGCCACATCGTCATGCACCTCCGCAACTACACCGAACCCACGTACCAGCGTTACATCGTCCGGATCATCTTCATGGTCCCCGTACGTACGCTCGCGCTGCGGCGTCGCTTCAACTGAACGTTTCGGAAGAATCTCGTTGTCAAATTTTCCAAACCCAGCGTGTTTCACCTGCGCCGAGTTTTACGAATCTCTGAAAACATTTGGGAGATTGGCAAGTCTTTATTCTTATTCCTGGGTTGTTTGTTTTTGCCTTGCGCCAGGTGTACGCGACAATGTCATTCGGCGCTCTCGTTATGAGCGACTACGCCATGTACTTCAACACGATACGCGACGTGTGAGTATGGTGCGAGCGTGGTGTTAATGCTGTGTGAGTGTGGGTCTTCGTGGGGACTGCATGTGCTCTATGTGTGGTGATGTGCTGATAAGGTCTTGGAACCTTTGCAACACAGTGCGGTAACAGCAACCGGAGATAAAAGTGTATTTTTGAGACGTCTCAAAAATAAACCTTTATCACGTGATAAGGGCTTGGAACCTTTGCAACACTATGCGGTAACCGCAACCCGAGCTGCCGCTTCAGCAGAAGCCTCTCCAGCCTCTCCTGCGTGGGGGGGACTGGCGCCATGGAGACCACGAACCCTGAATTCCCGCCGGACCTCTCTCTCCCGCTCCCTTACCCCTGTAACTTTTGAGTCGACTCAAAGGTCTTCGACGTGGGGGGGACAGGCGCCGTGGCAGCCGTGCACCCTGAATTCTCGCTGGACCTCTCTCCCCCTCTCCACTACCCCTTCTCCCTTCCAGTCTAACCTCGTTCCGCCTCCCCCACTCTCCCCCCTCTCCCCCCACTCCGTCTAACCTCTTCCTCTGTTTCCCCCACCCTAAACTTTCAACAGCTACGAGGCGTGGGGGATATACAACTTCCTCTCCCTCTGCCTCTCCTGAGTGGGCGGGTCAGGCGCCGTGGTCACCTTCAACCTCCAATCCCGCTCACTCCCTCCCCTACCAAACCCAATGCCTCCCCCTCTCTGCCCTCATCTCCCCTTCTCCCTCCCCTCTCAACAGCTACGAAGCGTGGGTGATCTACAACTTCCTCTCATTCTGCCTCTCCTGGGTGGGAGGACCGGGCGCCGTGGTGTGCTGACTCGCTCTTCCCCCCCATCCCCCCTCCCCCCCACCTCCCCCCCACCCCCCCTCCCCACACCTCCTCCCCACTCGTCCCCCTCCCCTCTCAACAGCTACGAGGCGTGGGTGATCTACAGCTTCCTCTCGCTCTGCCTCTCCTGGGTGGGAGGACCAGGCGCCGTGGCGACCATAAACCCTGAATCCCACTCCCTTCTCCCCCCTCCCCTTCCCTCCCCCCTCTCCGTCTAACCTCCACTCATATGCAGCTACGAGGCGTGGGTGATCTACAACTTCCTTTCCCTCTGCCTCTCCTGGGTGGGTGGACCAGGCGCCGTGGTGACGAGTCTAACAGGGCGACTGTTGAAACCCTCTTACCTGCTAATGACCTGCTGCTTCCCGCCCATTCCGCTTGATGGGTGAGTCATGCGGTGATGAGTACGAACGATGAGGAAGGTCATTACTAACGAGTCTCACAGGGCGCCTGCTCAAGCCGTCCTACCTGCTAATGACCTGCTGCTTCCCGCCCATTCCGCTTAACGGGTGAGTCACGTGGTGATGAGTTGTGGTGAGTATGGAGACTGGTGGGGCACATCAGTACTAGCGAGCGTCTCATGCAGATCTATAAGGATGGCAACTTCGCACTCTCAGACGGCTACAGCTACGTCAAATGCATCTTCGTGACCTTTCTCTTCCTCCCTCTTCCTTTTCTCTTTCCATCTCCTCCTTTCTTTTCCCCAGTCATCCGTCCTATTCCCCACTCGTCCATCCTCTTCCACTCTCGTCCGTTCTCTTCCCGTTCCATCCGTTTCTCCCCCCTACCTTCCCCACTAACAGGAGGTTCATCCGGCGGTGCTAGCAGGGCTGTCTGCACTTCGTCTACTTAAAGCCTCTCATCATCCTTGACATCTATTCCTCCCTCTCTCATCCCTTCCTCCCTCATCCCTCCCTCTCTCATCCCCTCCTCTCTCATCCCTCCCTCTCTCATCTCTCCCTCTCTCCTCTCCCTCTCCCCCCACCCCCTCCGCCTTTCAATGACAGCCGGTTCATCCGGAGGTGCAAGCAGGGCTGTCTGCAGTTCGTGTACTTAAAGCCCATCCTGGCGGCCAACTGCCTGTACCTCTACTACTACGGGCTCTATCAAGACGGCAACTTCGCCCTCTCAGACGGCTACATCTACATCACATGCATCTACATCGCCCCTCTTCTTCCCTTCTCTTCCATTCCCTTGCCCCTCCCTTCCGCTCCCTTCCCCTCCCTCACCGTCGTCCTGTTTCTTCCCATCCTTCCCCCCCGCCCTCCCCATCCGCCTCCCCCTCCCCCTCCCCCCCCTCTTCTCCAACCAGTAGGTTCATCCGGAGGTGCAAGCAGGGCTGTCTGCAGTTCGTCTACTTAAAGCCCATCCTGGCGGCCACCTGTCTGTGCCTCTACTACTACGGCCTCTATTAAGACGGCAACTTCGCCCTCTCAGACGGCTACATCTACATCACATGCATCTACATCGCCCCTCTCACCATACCCCTTCTCCACCCCCCTTTCCCCTCTCCCTCCCCTCCCCATCCCCCTCCTCCCTTCCACTCCCCTTCCCCGTCCCCCTCCCCCTCCCCTTCCCCATCCCCCTCCTCTCTCGTTCCCTCTCCCCTTCCCCCTCCCCCTCCGCCTCCCCCCGTCAGTCGCTTCATAAGGCGGTGCAAGCAGGGCTGTCTGCAGTTCGTGTACTTAAAGCCCATCCTGGCGGCCACCTGCCTGTGCCTCTACTACTACGGCCTTTACGAGGACGGCAACTTTGCCCTCTCAGACGGCTACATCTACATCACATGCATCTACATGGCCTCCTATTCCGTGGCGATTTACGCACTTATTCTCTTCTACGTCGCGTGCCGGGAGCTCCTGCGCTCTTTTAATCCAGTGCCCAAGTTTCTGATGATCAAGGCAGTGGTTTTCCTCACCTACTGGCAGGTGAGAATGGGTCCGGTGTGGTTGCTGGTGGTAGGTAGCAGTGGGGTTATGCTAGTGGCAGCTCGTAGCAAGGGTAGAGCCACGATCGCCACTTGTATAATGTGTGCCACGAGCTGCCACTAGCATAACCAGCTCTGTCAACCCAGTTCCAAAGTCTCTGATGATCAAGGCCATGTCTCTCCTCACCTCTGCTCTGCCTGTCCCGGAGGGACAACACTGGAACAGGAGTTGTCAAAAGAGGACAGGTGGGCTGCGGAGGCCTTACTTCCATCAACACTGGAACTCAACACTGGAACACAACACTGGAACACAACACTGGAACACAACACTGGAACTCAACACTCACACACACCTCCCAGTCCATCCCATCCCATCCCATCCCCCTGCTCTCGATTCCCTGCAGGGCGTGCCGGTGTTCATAGTGGCACAGCAGCAGCAGCAGAACGTGCTCATCTGCACTCCCCTTTCTTCCCCTGTCCCCCTCCCCTCACTCCCTGTAGGGCGTGCCGGTGTTCATAGTGGCGCAATTAGGGTATGTGAGCAGTGCAGAGGATGCAGCGGACTTATAAAACGTGCTCATCTGTGCGGAGATGGTGCTGGGCTTCATTCATGCACGCCTTCCCCTTCAAGCCGCTCCTGTCTCGCTTCCCTTGCTCCCTATCCTAAAACTCCCATCCCTCTCTTCCTCCCCTCTCTCCCCATCCCACCTCCCCCTTCCCTTTCCCCTCTCTCGCTTCTTTCAGGGCGTGCTAGTCTTTATAGTGGCGCAACTTGGCTATGTGAGCAGTGCAGAGGATGCAGCCGATCTCCAGAACGTGTTGATTTGCGCCGAGATGGTGCTGGGGGCGCTGGGCTTCATGCACGCCTTCCCATACAAGCTGTTTCTTGCTCGCTCCCTCCTTCCCTACCTTCCGTCTGTCCCTTGAGGGAGAGAACACAACGCTCACACTGCCGCCCCCTCCCCTTACCCCCTGCCACCATTCCCGTCAGGGTGTGCTGGTGTTCATAGTGGCCCAACTGGGCTACGTCAGCAGTGCAGAAGACGCAGCAGATCTACAAAACGTGTTGATTTGCGCCGAGATGGTGCTGGGCGCGCTGGGCTTCATTCACGCCTTCCCCTTCAAGCCGTTCCTGCAGGCCAATGTGGCCCTGAACGGCGAGCAGGCGGGGCTGCTGAGGTCTATTAAGCATGCCATCAACCTCACAGATGTTGTCAGCGACACCGTTCATCAGGTGGGTGAGAGGTGGTTACCAGGTGGGCTGGTTACCAGGTGGGCTTCATGCACGCCTTCCCCTTCAAGCCGTTTCTGCAGGCCAACAGGGCCCTGAACGGCGAGCAGGCAGGGCTGCTGCACTCTATTAAGCATGCCATTTACCTCACAGACGTTGTCAGCGACACTGTTCACCAGGTGCGGCTGTGCGCTAGCATGTTACCTGGTTAACAGCTACTGTTGCATTGCTGCGATCCATCAAGCACGCCATCAAACTCACCGACATTAGCCTCACTGACGTTGTCAGCGACACTGTTCACCATCAAGCACGCCATCAAGCACGCCATCAAGCACGCCATCAAGCACGCCATCAAGCACGCCATCAACCTCACCGACACAACATCATTGTCAGCAACACGACACGACACTGTTCCAAAGTGACATGTCTCCACCAGGCGAATGAGAAAGTATCGTTCACTAGGCGAGGGAAGTGGGAGAGAGATGACGACATGAGTAGATTGCTCATTCTCACTTACCTTTCTTTCTCCCCTGCGTCGTCTCTTCCCACCTCCCCACCCCCCATCTCCCGCACAATTTGGTCCCACTTACCATGACTAGATGAGCTGGTTTTTGAGAATTCTCAAAAACCAATTTGCTCCCACTCACCACGACTAAATGCTTCACTGTGACGGCACAGGGGAGAGGGACAGAGAGAGAAACATGGGTTGCTTGGTGATTTACATGCAAACGATCGCACCTATCCCCAATGCGTGTCTTCTCAGTGACGGCGCGGGAGATATACTCGTAGCTGGCTCATGCGTCCTCCCTTCGCATCTCTCCTACCCCCCATCGCCCATGCAGTTCACCCCCACCTACCACGACTATGTGCTTACAGTAACGGCACGGGGAAGACACACATAGCTGCCTCAGTTCTTCCACTAGTTTGCTCATGCGTCCTCCCTTCGCATCTCTCCTACCCCCCATCCCATGCAGTTCGCCCCCACCTACCATGACTAGGTTCTCTACAGTGATGGCACGGGGGAGACTCACCACTGCCGCACACACACCTGGGCTGTTTACCCATACATCATTCCGACCCGTCTCCCCTATCCCTCCCGCAGTTCGCCCCCACCTACCATGACTATGTGCTCTACAGTGACGGCACGGGGGAGACACACCACTACCGCACACGCACCTTCGTCCCCTCAGGTGTGTTTCTGTGTCCTCTCAGGTGTGTTTCTGTGTCCTCTCAGGTGTGTTTCTGTGTCCTCAGGTGTGTTTCTGTGTCCTCAGGTGTGTTTCTGTGTCCTCGGGTGTGTTTCTGTGTCCTCAGGTGTGTTTCTGTGTCCTCGGGTGTGTTTCTGTGTCCTCAGGTGTGTTACTGTGTCCTCTCGGGTGTGTTTCTGTGTCCTCTCAGGTGTGTTTCTGTGTCCTCGGGTGTGTTTCTGTGTCCTCAGGTGTGTTTCTGTGTCCTCAGGTGTGTTTCTGTGTCCTCTCAGGTGTGTTTCTGTGTCCTCTCAGGTGTGTTTCTGTGTCCTCGGGTGTGTTTCTGTGTCCTCAGGTGTGTTTCTGTGTCCTCGGGTGTGTTTCTGTGTCCTCTCAGGTGTGTTTCTGTGTCCTCAGGTGTGTTTCTGTGTCCTCAGGTGTGTTTCTGTGTCTTCAGGTGTGTTTCTGTGTCCTCAGGTGTGTTTCTGTGTCCTCAGGTGTGTTTCTGTTCGCTCTAGTGGAAATTTCTTCCCTCAGGTGTGTTTCCGTATCCTTACCACCCCTCCCGATACCTCTGATCGCAGGGAGGGAGATGGAGTCGTGTCGGCGCTCGGCCAGTGGCAGCAGCCAGCCACAGCACTTCACAGACCTCGAGGCCCTGTCAACCTCCGACCGCCCTGCTGGGCCCACAGGGATCGCCTCTCAGGGTGCTGCTGTTGACTCTGCTGATTCTTTTCTCTCAGAAGCGCAGCTTATTTCGACAGAGAATGCAGACGGGAAACTGGGGAGTGGAGGGAAAGACAGTGGGGCCGCTGGGGGGGTGGGGGCCACGGTGGGTGTGGCGTTGTCTGGCGGCGCGTCTTTGGCTGCGAGGTTAGCTGCTGCGTTTTCTGCAGCGGCCGATATGTCGTCAGCGGTTGATTCGACAGAAGCGAATGATCCCACGTCTGCCCCTCTGGGGTTCACTCTCTCGTCCTCGAGTGCTCCGGGTGGAGGGTTTGTGGAGATAGAAGAAGATTTGGAGCAGCAGCCTCACCACCACCAACAGTTGAAACAGCAGCAGGAGTGGGAGCGGGAGGAGCGGGAGCGGGAGCAGCAGGGGCAGATGGCAGAGGTGGGGATTCTACGGGAGGCGATGGAGAAAATGGGGATGGTTTTGCCACCGTCTAGAGGGGGGATGAGGCCGTATGGAGCTTTGGCCGAGCCTGGCGATGGCGACGATCCTACGCCGATCTCGTCGCGGAATCCGAACCTGGGCACGCCGAAGCTGATGCCAACCGCCACTCCACCACCACTCCCGCCTCCACCTTCGGCAGGAGGATCGCCGGACCTAAGAAAGGAGGGTGTAGGAACGCCAGTCATAGGCAGTGTGACAATAAAGGGGTCTCCGTTGTCAGGAGGTAGGGTTTCTGAGATGGTTCCCCTGCAAGGGATGGGGCAAGGGGGCAGCACTGGAAGTAGTCCTGCTGTTTCAGCAGGAATTGGCAGTGCAGGGGAGATGGACAAGCTTATGCTAGATATGGACCAACAATAGCTTGCTATAGAATTGATTGTGTAACTTTCACGTGTTTGGCCATATAGGCAGCCAAATCAATGAAAATGTAGTGAAGAAATTGAGCTGTGTTACTTGCCTATCTATTCTTATGTTATCGATCGTAGCTCTTCCGCTGTAATCATGTGCCTCCCCTTAAGCAAAAATTCGTTTTGAGGCATGTAAAGCGGACGAAGTGATACTTTCCTGATTTCGAATGCGAACTTGAACATTCAAATTCGAAATTCCAACCATCGCTGCTGCGGAATCATGAAGCACAAGCATCCGCTTTATTTGGTACGGCTACCCTAAACTTCAGATGCTTCGCGGTTTATCAGCTAGGTTTCTTCGTCAATTTGAAGTGTGTTGGGTCCCGTTCTGTTTCAGAAGAAAAAAAGGAATGTATGACTCGTCCTCTCTTCAGTATGAATGCATCAATTCACAGATTCAACCTTAAACCGTAAGTGCGGAAACCATTTGACGAATCCAAGGATTTCGAGGTGTAGAGTTCAAATGTTTTAGGGGAGAGACAGAGGCCGCACCTTCCCTCGACTGCTTTTCTCTGCATGCTAGTGACAGTGCTGCATGGACAAAAGCCACTCGACAATTGCCTACTTGTGTAGAACCTTTCTCCCTATTTCCAAAATGCCATTCCCGTGAAGCTTCATTACGCCCCCAATCACCTCGTTCCCCTGCTAGCAAAAACCTTTTCTTACAGTCCTCTGCATTCGCTCTGCTAGGCCCGCGAAGATTGACGGTGAAGCGATACGCGCATCTTCATAGTTGCTAAATACTTACCAACCCGCTCAGCTGTCATTACATTGACGAGTGTTTTGACTCTCAAGCTAGAGGCGCCATGGCAAGACCTGGAGCTAAGAAGCGCGTGAAGAGCGCCGAGCCGACAGTCATGCGTCGAGCTCCTGATGGCAGTGCATTTCTCACTTGGTAAAGCCTGATACCTTAACGGAGTTATGATCCGCCGTAATGTAACAGTATTCTACACGCGCAACGGCGTCCTTTTCTCCCCTTGTTAATATTTTTTTTCTGTTTTCTGTCGGTAATTCGTTTGGAAATTCGTGTGTCTGGCAGTGAAGCGTGCAGCTCCAAGGTGCCGGTTGCCACGGCGGACATGCACTCGTGCGAGAACGACGCCGCTTTCAAAGACACCCTCGGTGAGTGGTCTCGCGTGGGCTCGATTCTTACTACTTTTGACGCGCCTCACAACACGGCGGGCATGCACTCGTGCGAGAACGACGCTGCGTTTCAAGCCGCCCGGCCTCAATGCCAATCTCCTTCCCACAGGTTTATTTAAGGATCGATTTGATAAGTAACGTGGCGTGTTCAGATGCTAATGACTTCTGAGTTTGCTCAGAAGTCACCTATTTCACTTGTTGTTTTTCCATAATCATTTTGGCCAGTCACGCTAATTCTCATCGTCGTGTGTTTCTTACCAACCGCATGGCAGAGCGTTTGCGCTTGGAGTTTCGAGAGCGTATGGCAGAGGAAGCCGCTGCGAAGTAAGTTCTTTTCTCGGCTACATACGTGGATAATTCCGGCGTCCCGCATCAGTTTCAACTTGTTTTCTTGCTAGTTATGGCGTGTCGGTTTGAACATCACTGTGCCTCTGTTCCAAGTGTCTCTGGCCTCAATCAATTTACGATTTCTTACCTCACAGGAAGCAGAAAGTTGAGGAGAAGCAGCAGAAGTCAAACCCCGCCAAGGAAGAGAAACAGCACAAGCGGAAAGCCGAAAAAGACCCCAACGCTCCCAAGAAACCAACAACCGCCTACTTCCTGTTCTTGTACGTCCCGCCATTTTCGCCTGTTTCCAATACTCCTCATAGGCGTGCGTTCGTGCACCATTCCGTGCACCGTGGTTCTGGAAGGGCCTGAGGCTTGCTCATATAAGCCTCGCCACGGATGATTCCATACCTGCTTCGCGTAACTGTGCTGTCTGTCACCACTCTAGGCGCTTCTGTTGAGGGATTTAATGGTTGACGCGGTCTTTGAGCGTGTTGGTCTGTGATTTGCAGAGAAGATTTTCGGAAGCAATACAAGGAGGAACATCCCGAATCGAAGGGCGTCACAGAGGTGCGTTTCTCTCCCCCAGCAGCCATAGTCACGGGATTTTGTCATGGCGTGGTTCCTTCCATTGTGATGTTTTTCGCCTCTTATGCAAATTTGTTGTGCGAAACATGCAGATGAGCAAAGCGGCTGGTCTCAAATGGAAGAGCTTGACTGAAGAGGTGCGATCTAACGCTTATGCTCCCTAATTTCTGTTAGCTAAGTTCAACTTACGTCTGCGCATCCGAATGCACGCTCTCCTGCTGTTGCCTTGAGTGTCCCTGATGATTCTTCCCTGAATTTGCAGGAAAAAGAGGTATACAATAAGGGAGCCTCAGAGCGCAAGAAAGCATATGAGGCGCAATTAGAAGAATACAACATGGTAAGGCGATATGCTAAGTCAACATGTAACTTGGATCTTGGTCTCGAATTAATGCACTAACAAAGTCGTGTCATTCATTTCCTTTGCAGCAATCCAGGGTGGAGGGTGTTGGGGACACTGAGGATGATGATGAGAAGCATGAAGAGGCACCAAAGCCTGCAAAGAAAAAGCGACTTGTGTCCAAGAAAACTGAAGAGGTGAGAGGAAAGAGGTTAATTTACTAAAATAGTCACTAGCTAGTTTTACCCGCTGCTTTCATTCGAACATATTCATGAATGACCATGTTTATTTTTTTGCATCACAGGATGAGACATTGAATGAGGAACTTCAAGATGACATTGCAGATTAGTCGTGATTCAGGGGAACCAGCGTATTTTTTTCCCCGCTATCGCAACTGACTTATTTTCTGTATTGTGGTTTTTTTCTTCTCACACAGTACAGCACTCACTGCTTTTAGTTTGTATCAGCTAGTGGTTAGGCTCTTGATCTGTGATAACGAGTGTGTTCTTAATGTATAAGAAGCGTTGCTCGTGCAATGTGTGATGCTCGTCGTCATGAAGCTGTGCTGCTGACGTGGATGTGCACCAGCAGGGATGCTGAGTGATATTTTCTGTCCGGTCAGCCTTGGTTCGTCTTTGTGGTGTGGCAAGGAGAGGAGATAGAGGAGATTCTGATTGCCTTTTAATCCGAAATCCGTAATCTACAAAAACCTGGAACTTAGGCCGGTCATCTCCCAAAAGCAAATGTTTAGAAATGGATGCGGCTTGGCATTCCGACAATCTCTTGGGTTGCACTGATTGGATCAAACCTTCTCAACCTGATGTTCCCGCCATACAAGGCCAAAACGTGTTCGGAAAGAAGGTTCGGTATGACAGAGCTGGCTTGGTTGAGTCGCGTCGCTTGATCAGCGGGTGAGACACCACGAGCTCGCCCAAACCAGCACAACCCTGCCCTGGTCTGGCTGAACCTGGTTTGAATTCCTTCCTGCCTGCGTGGCTTGGGTCACACCCAGGGAGCTGTGCCATTTGGTGCAATATTTTGCGTGCCAGAACGGTTCTTTACTATTCTAGAATGGTTGAGTAGAGTTCCGTGCTATTCTGACACAACGTAATGAGTTCTCTGTACTAAGAAAGCAACACATCTGATAGCAGCATGTTGGTTTCATGGAGCCTGGCAGTGCTCGTGCAAGTAGCTTGATCTGATGAGCAGCAACTTGGTCTGCTGTGCAGCTAGCTTGGCTGTGCCTCATAGTACGAAAGACTACGTTTTTTCAAGAATCCGACGCACCTCCGTGTCGTGTGCTGCAGGTGTAGGTTATGCATCCAACGCGGAGACTCGTTGTTGAATTTCACTTCAGCATACGTCAAGTTTCCCTGCGAGTACCAGATGATGCTGCTTCCGCTGGCCTTCCGTTTCAATGCCACATAGCTCTCTGCTGCAGAGTCTAATGCGACATAACAGCGGTGCATCATCGCACCAGCTGTCCCCATTCCCGATCATGGCTCCTCCTCCTCCCGCCGTTTGAGTCTACTCTTTTTATAAGCCTCCTGCCAAAAGCCTCCTCCTGTCACATTCGCGATGACAGATAGATAGGCGAAAGCCATCCGCATGGACGGAGCTCTCAAGTTCGTTGTGGCAGCAGTAGCAGCCGCCGTCGTTGCGAAGCAAGTTCTTGGAAGTGCCAGCCACAACCAGAGTAAGATGAGCCACGTGGTAAAAGAAGTGTTTTGAGACGTCTCAAAACGCCGTCGTTGCGAAGCAAGTTCTTGGAACTGCCATCCACAACCAGAGTAAGATGGATTGAAGATCAACCGCGTAGCGCACGCGTACCCAGGTGTCTGGTTTCCGTATCTGGTTATCATACATGATTACCGTACCTGGTCACCGTGTCTGGTTTCCGTTCCTGTTGATGTTGCCAGTTATCCATTCTGGATACCGTGCCGATTGCCGTGTCTGGCTGTCGTATATGGTAACTGTGCCTGTTAATGTCTGCGGATGTCTCTGGTCACCGGTATGGTTACCGTTCCTGTTGTCTGGTTACATGTGGTCACACGCCTTTGCCGTGTCTGATTATGGTATCTGTTTAGCGTGTCTGGTTATCGTATCTTGTTACCATTCCGCGTGTCAGCGAGTTGAGCTACGACGGCCGATATTCCACCTACATTGGAGTCCCAGTCTTCCTGGGAGTTTAACTTGAGCGAATTACGATTGCAAGTCAATCGACTTAGACTCGCACTCTCGTGCTCTTCGAAATTATGGGGTATTCAGCAAGACTGGCAATGCATGCACGAATTGCTCTGTTACAGAGTTACAAAGTCCCCCAGATCAGTACTTTGCTGCTCCATTCCTGAATTGCCGACCCAGAAGAGCTAGTTTTGATCAGGACTTCCTTTCTTTCCGTCTATCTCGGTTTCAGGGCAGGAAGAGGAACGGCGGCGGCGGCGGAGGCGACAGCAACGGTCGCAGCGTGAACAAGATGTGAGTAAAACGAGGGCACGCCCGTGACTTGCTTGACCGCATCGGCACTGACCGTGGCGGCCAGTGCCGGAGCTGAATGATGTTGGGCGTGGGGGTGGAGACCCAGGCCCAGGCTCTTAAGTTGCCCTTTTTTCCCCTCTGCCATGTATGCGTGCCCCTCTCCCGTGCTGCATGTGCCAGGTGGCGGCGCAAGGGCAGCAGGGCGGGCGGCCGGTGCCGGAGCTTAATGACGTGGAGAGCGTGGGGGAGGAGAGGGAGCGCTCGTTAGTGTCACACGGGAGAGTTGGCGCCACGTTCGGTCAGGGAGGCGGAGAAGGGCATGGGATCACGGGGGTGACTCAAACGGGGGGAGGTGCAGGAGGGGGAGGAGGGGAAGCGGGAGCAGGAGGAGGGGGAAGGGGAGGAGGAAGGGGAGGGAGCAAACACAAGGAGGGGCGAGCGCGGGCGGCTGGAGGCATTGCTGCTGGTGGTGCTGCTGCTGGTGGTGTCCCAGATGTGACTGTAGATGGAAGGGACTATTACGGGGGCTCTGGGGATGTGGTGAGTGAAGGGAGGGGGGAGGAGGAGGAGGGCGAGAGGGGAAGGAAGGACAAGAAGAATGACCGGAAGGATAAGAGGAAGAAGAAGAAGGAGAAAGAGGAGAAGGATAAGGAGAAGGAGAAGGAGAAGGAGAAAGGGAAGGGAAAGGGGAAAGGGAGGGCAAAGGGGAAGGGTAAGGACAAGCAGGGGCAAGAGGAAGGGGAAGACAGGGAAGACGGAATTGAGATGTTGGCAGATGGAAAGGTAGTAGCAGGAATAGCATCAGCAGGAGGAGATGGGGATAACGGAAGCATACTCGTGGGCACTGGGGGCATTGCGGGCACCGGTGCTACTGGTGCCGGTGGTGGGGGTGACAGAGGTAGTGCGGAAGGTGTTAGCTTTGGAGGGACGGCTATGGATGCACTTGCAGGAGACACGGGGGGCGCTGGGGCTGGAAACGGGCAGGGCGCTGGGTGGAGAAACGAGGGCATTGGGACGGGAGACGAGCAGGGCGCTGCATCGGGAGACGAGTTCTTTTCAGACAAGGACGTGCCTGACGTGTGGTCTGACTTTGAGTCGAAACTCGCTCTCGACGGCCGGAAAGCAGCTTCCCGGAACGTGCTTCCTGGCGACTCCCCTTCCGCCTTGAGCTTTGGTCCGTCAGCCGTTGCTGCGCTACCCAACGGGCTTGGTGACCTGGACGAGCGGGTGAGGGAGGAGCGCGCGAGGGAGGAGCGAGCGCGGGAGGAGGAGCGAGTGCGTGAGCTGCTAGCCGCCCAGGAGAAAGCCTTAAAAGAGGCGCACGCAAGGGAGATCGAGGGGGTGAAGGCGAGGGTGGAGAGGGAGGTGCATGAGCGCGTGATGGCGGAGGTTGAGGAGGTGGAGGCAAGGGTGCAGCAGGAGGTGCAGGAGCGGGAGGCGCTGGAGGAGCAGCAGCGCGTGCGCGCGGAGGAGCATCAAAGGGAGGTGTGGGAGCTGCAGTGCAGCGCAGAGGAGATGCGGCAGCAGCACGAACAGCTCATGGCGGAACTGCAGGTGGGGTGGGGGTGTGTGAATATGGTTGAGTGTGGCAGGGTGTGGAGGGGTTTGCAGGTGTGCGAGGCTGTGTGCTGTGAGGGCATAGGTGTGTGTGTGAGGGTGCTGCGCTGAGGAGATGCGGCAGCAGCACGAGCAGCTCATGGCGGAACTGCAGGTAGGCGCACGTGTGGATATGGGGGCGTGTGGCAAGGTGTAGAGGGGTTTGAAGGTGTGAGGCTGTCTATAGGGGTGTGTGAGGGTGCAGTGTGGAGGACATGTGGCAGCAGCTCGAGCACCTCATGGCGGAACTCCAGGTAGGTGTGAGTGGGGGGGCGTGTGTAGATATGGGGGGGTGTGGCAGGGTGTTGGGGGGTTCGCAGGTGTGTGAGGCGCAGGTGTATGGGGGTGAGCGGGAGCTGCCGTGCAACGCAGAGGATATGCGGCAGCAGGACCAGCAGGTGTGAAAAAGGGGTGTGCCCGGGGGGGGGTGGTCAGTGGGGCTTTGTAGGTGGGTGATCTGCGGCAGCAGCACGAGCAGCTCATGGCTGAACTCTAGGTAGGGTGGGGACGTGTGTGAATGTACGGGTGTGTGAGCGGGTAACGGTGGGATTAGCAGGTGCGTGAGGGTGTTTGTGTACAAGCAGGAGGTGCAGGAGATGCGGCAGCAGCACGAGCAGCTCATGGCGGAAATGCAGGTAGGGTGGGGGCGTGTGGGAGGAGAGGAGATGGAGAGGGAAAGCAGTTGCTGTGGTGCGTTTTAAGGCCTTCCTGTGATTCTACAGCCAAACCATCTCGTGGTACCTCAAACCCTCTGCCCTGCCCGTGCCTGTCTTTCCCCCTCTGTCCCTTCCCCCACAGGAGCTGCGGCAGCTGAGGTATGGGGGCGAGGAGGTGGAGAGGCAGCGGAGGGAGGTGGAGAGGGAGCGGGCGGAGGTGGTTCGGCTGCGCAAGGGCATGGCGGAGAGCGTGTTTCAGAAGCAGCAGTGGGCGCTGGACATGCAGGAAATGGATAAGATCAAGAAGGAGGTGAGTAGAGGGGGTTGAGAAATGGTTAGTTGGTTGTTGTGGATTGAGACGAGATTTCTCTGCTGCACTTTCTGCAGGGAGATTTTCTGCTCCACTTCCAGTTTTGAGACGTCTCAAAACGAGATTTTCTGCTCCACTTCCAGTTTTGAGACGTCTCAAAACGAGATTTTCTGCTCCACTTCCAGTTTTGAGACGTCTCAAAACGAGATTTTCTGCTCCACTTCCAGTTTTGAGACGTCTCAAAACGAGATTTTCTGCTCCACTTCCAGTTTTGAGACGTCTCAAAACGAGATTTTCTGCTCCACTTCCACCTCAAGAATCCCTCTCTGCCTTTCCTGCCTCCCGCACCCTCCACTCCCTCACGAGCTTTGAGACATCGGACTTTCGCCCTCAAGCCATTTTTTCCCTTTTGAGTCGACTCCCAAGTCGTGCTGCCATTCGTATTGTCCCCCCACACCACCCATTCCCCAAACGAACACAACAGCTGAACGAGCTTAGGGCGCGAGAGAGGGAGCTGCAGAAGCAGCTGCGGATAGGCTCGGGCTCTTCCTCAGAGATCACAGCACTCAAGCAGGTACGGGTGCTGGTGCTTTGCTGTACAGCTGGCTTGCTGCTAGCGTGGTGCTAGTACTGTCGAAACTGTATTAGCAGCAGCAGATAGGCTCGGGCTCTTCCTCAGAGATCACAGCACTCAAGTGGGTATGGGTGTTTCGTGGGTTGCTTGCTATGCGCCTGGCGGGTTGCTATACGCCTGGCGGGTTGCTATGCGCCTGGCAGGTTGCTATGCGCCTGGCGGGTTGCTATGAGCCTGGCGGGTTGCTATGAGCCTGGCGGGTTGCTATGCGCCTGGCGGGTTGCTATGCGCCTGGCGGGTTGCTATGCGCCTGGCGGGTTGCTATGCGCCTGGTGCTAGTGCTGGCGAAACTGCAGTAGCAGTGGATGATACCTCAAAGGGCGCTGTTCTCAATCGGGTGTGGGTGTTCGTGGTCCTCTTTAAAAGCTTTTTGACCCTCAAATGGATCTTGCTTTCTTGCCGCAAGCTTATCAAGGTTCTGGCTCCGGTCTATTCCAACCATTTACACTCAACATACCCGCTACTCTCATGGCCCTAAATTCCCCCATTCCTTCACATCTCCCTACCGCCCCAGGTGGTGGCGTCACTGAAAGCCCGGGAGGAGGAGGTGAACGCCAAGGAGGCTCTAGCTCTGGCGAAGCACAAGGAGGTGGAGGCGCTGCGCAAGGTGGGTGGTTGAGGGGGAGAGTAGGGAAGAGGTTTTGGAGCGGATGGGTAAAGTGGGGTGTGGGGGGGGGCAGATGACGGCCAGGTGTGCGGCTGATGCTCACAATGGCTCTGGCCCTGGCGAAGCACAAGGAGGTGGAGGCCCTGCGCAAGGTGGGCTCTTGAGGAGGGAAGGGTGGGTGGGAGGAGGGAGGTGAGAAGGGAGGAGGGGAGAAGTGGGTGGGGACTGGGACACTGTAGTGCAGGGAAGGTGTGTGGCTGATGTACAAGATGGCTCTTTTTGAGACGTCTTACAAATGGCTCTGGCCCTGGCGAAGCACAAGGAGGTGGAGGCCCTGCGCAAGGTGGCGGTGGGGTGGGGAGGAGGGTGAGGGGATGAGAGCAGGGCGATGTGGGGAACGGGAGAGGTGGGAGGGGTGTGGGACTCTCGTTTGGTGACTTTGAGTACTGTGCACTCAACTCTAATCTCTATCTAAGCGTGGGGAAGGCTTAAGGTTCCGGAACTCGCTCCACCCCCTCTTCGTGCTCCTCTCTTATTCCATCCTCAGGCGCAGGAGAAGGCGACTCACGACTCACGATACCTGTTGCCCGCTTTCCCTCTTCCCCCTCCACTTCCCCCTCTTCCTCCCCTCGGCAGGCGCAGGAGTAGGTGGAGGTGGAGCAGGTGGAGGCGCGGAGGATGAGCAACGAGCTGCAGCTTAGTGTGTTGTCGTGAGGCACCTTGGAACACCTTGTTCCCCCGCTCCCTCGCCCTCTCCCACCCTCCCTCTTCTCTCCCTTATCTTAGGCACAAGAAAAGGTGGAGGTGGAGCTAGTGGAGGCGCGGAGGATGAACAACGAGCTGCAGCTGCAGAGGAGGAAGATGAGTGTGCAGCTCGCAGAGGCCCAGGCGCACATGGATAGGCTCATTGCGCCAGAGGTAACAAGCAGGGGGGTGTGGTAACCCTATACACGCATTGACCGGCCAGCCATGAGGTGCAGCTGCAGAGGCGGAAGATGAGCGTGCAGCTGGCAGAGGCACAGGCGCACATGGATAGGTTCATCGCGCCAGAGGTAGGTAACCCTGTTTTATGGGGCTGTGGTAGCTTCATCCATCTTGTGTGCGTGACGTGCACATTGACCAACCACCAGCTGCAGCTGGCAGAGGCCCAGGCGCACATGGACTGCCTCATTGCACCAGAGGTAACCACTATAGTGGGTGGTAACCACTATAGTGGGTGGTAACCACTACAGGCCCTTACTTCTGCTACAAAGAGTTGCCACCCACTCGCCTTCGCTCCCTCTGTTGTCCCTCCCCTTGCCCTCGTCTCACTCACTCCGCTCCTTCTCTTTCCTCTGTCGCCCTTCCCACCCCCTCTCCCCCCCCTGCCGTGCTGTGCTGCAGAGCCAGCAGCTGAAGAAGGCACAGATGGAAGCCATGCTGCTGCGGCAGCGAGTGGCAGACCCACTCACCTGCTCTCCATCTTTTCTCCATCACCTTGTCCTCCTCTCACTCACTCACGCTCTCCGCACTCCCTCTCCCGTCCCCCCCTCCCTCCGCCGGTCGCCCTGTGCTACAGAGCCAGCAGCTGAAGAAGGCACAGATGGAAGCTATGCTGCTGCGGCAGCGAGTGGCAGACCTCCTCAGACAGGTGCGTGGGTGGGTCGCAACGAATACATGTGTCCTCTACATCGAGTTAAGGTATAGATCCTTACACCTCGTCGTGTCAGCGCACCAGCAGATGTGGAAAGTGTCCGTCTCTGCTGTTAACCAGGTTTTCTCCATCCATCCATTCCATGGGGTTTGTCTCGTCGTTTTAATAACCACACGAGTTGATGGAAGTAAGACCTCCACAGCCCACCTGTCCGCTACTGACAGTACCTCATGTGTCAGCGCGCCGCTACTGACAGCACCTCATGTGTCAGCGCGCCAGCAAAGGTGGATAGTGTCTGTCTCTGATGTGCACACAAGGAAGCCAACGTCATTCTATATTGGTGCGACTTTTGAGAATTCTCAAAAGATGTGGACACAAGGAAGCCACCGTCATTCTATATTGGTGTGACTTTTTAGAATTCTCAGAAGATGTGCACACAAGGAAGCCACCGTCATTCTATCCATCTTCATTCCAGCCGAGCAGGGCAGTCGTTTCTCAAATGTCTCATCGAGGTCTTATGAGACGTCTCAAAAACCCCTCTTCATTCCCCACCATATCACCGCACTTTTTAGGTTGAAGGTATACAGAACAGCCGGTTCAGCGAGGTGGAGGAGGTGGTGTATCTGCGGTGGGTGGAGAATCGCTTCTTACTCTCCCATGTCTCCACATGTCTCCACATGTCTCCACATGTCTCCACATGTCTCCACATGTCTCCTCATGTCTCCACATGTCTCCTCATGTCTCCAAATGTCTCCTCATGTCTCCACATGTCTCCTCATGTCTCCTCATGTCTCCACATGTCTCCTCATGTCTCCTCATGTCTCCACATGTCTCCTCATGTCTCCACATGTCTCCACATGTCTCCTCATGTCTCCACGTGTCTCCTCATGTCTCCACATGTCTCCACATGTCTCCACATGTCTCCTCATGTCTCCACATGTCTCCTCATGTCTCCCCATGTCTCCTCATGTCTCCACATGTCTCCTCATGTCTCCACATGTCTCCACATGTCTCCTCATGTCTCCACATGTCTCCTCATGTCTCCACATGTCTCCTCATGTCTCCTCATGTCTCCCCATGTCTCCTCATGTCTCCACATGTCTCCACATGTCTCCTCATGTCTTCACATGTCTCCTCATGTCTTCACATGTCTCCTCATGTCTTCACATGTCTCCTCATGTCTTCACATGTCTCCTCATGTCTTCACATGTCTCCTCATGTCTTCACATGTCTCCTCATGTCTTCACATGTCTCCTCATGTCTTCACATGTCTCCTCATGTCTTCACATGTCTCCTCATGTCTCCACATGTCTCCACATGTCTCCACATGTCTCCTCATGTCTCCACATGTCTCCTCATGTCTCCCCATGTCTCCTCATGTCTCCACATGTCTCCTCATGTCTCCACATGTCTCCACATGTCTCCTCATGTCTCCACATGTCTCCTCATGTCTCCTCATGTCTCCACATGTCTCCTCATGTCTCCTCATGTCTCCACATGTCTCCTCATGTCTCCACATGTCTCCACATGTCTCCTCATGTCTCCACGTGTCTCCTCATGTCTCCACATGTCTCCACATGTCTCCACATGTCTCCTCATGTCTCCACATGTCTCCTCATGTCTCCTCATGTCTCCCCATGTCTCCTCATGTCTCCACATGTCTCCACATGTCTCCTCATGTCTTCACATGTCTCCTCATGTCTTCACATGTCTCCTCATGTCTCCCCATGTCTCCTCATGTCTCCACATGTCTCCACATGTCTCCTCATGTCTCCTCATGTCTCCTCATGTCTCCCCATGTCTCCTCATGTCTCCACATGTCTCCACATGTCTCCTCATGTCTTCACATGTCTCCTCATGTCTCCCCATGTCTCCTCATGTCTCCACATGTCTCCTCATGTCTCCACATGTCTCCACATGTCTCCTCATGTCTCCACATGTCTCCTCATGTCTCCACATGTCTCCACATGTCTCCTCATGTCTCCTCATGTCTCCCCATGTCTCCTCATGTCTCCACATGTCTCCACATGTCTCCTCATGTCTTCACATGTCTCCTCATGTCTTCACATGTCTCCTCATGTCTCCCCATGTCTCCTCATGTCTCCACATGTCTCCACATGTCTCCTCATGTCTCCTCATGTCTCCTCATGTCTCCCCATGTCTCCTCATGTCTCCACATGTCTCCACATGTCTCCTCATGTCTTCACATGTCTCCTCATGTCTCCCCATGTCTCCTCATGTCTCCACATGTCTCCACATGTCTCCTCATGTCTCCTCATGTCTCCTCATGTCTCCCCATGTCTCCTCATGTCTCCACATGTCTCCTCATGTCTCCTCATGTCTCCCCATGTCTCCTCGTGTCTCCACATGTCTCCACATGTCTCCTCATGTCTTCACATGTCTCCTCATGTCTTCACATGTCTCCTCATGTCTTCACATGTCTCCTCATGTCTTCACATGTCTCCTCATGTCTTCACATGTCTCCTCATGTCTTCACATGTCTCCTCATGTCTCCCCATGTCTCCTCATGTCTCCACATGTCTCCACATGTCTCCTCATGTCTTCACATGTCTCCTCATGTCTTCACATGTCTCCTCATGTCTTCACATGTCTCCTCATGTCTCCACATGTCTCCTCATGTCTCCTCATGTCTCCTCATGTCTCCACATGTCTCCTCATGTCTCCTCATGTCTCCTCATGTCTCCACATGTCTCCTCATGTCTCCTCATGTCTCCTCATGTCTCCTCATGTCTCCTCATGTCTCCTCATGTCTCCTCATGTCTCCTCATGTCTCCTCATGTCTCCTCATGTCTCCTCATGTCTTCACATGTCTCCTCATGTCTCCTCATGTCTCCTCATGTCTCCTCATGTCTCCTCATGTCTCCTCATGTCTCCTCATGTCTCCACATGTCTCCTCATGTCTCCTCATGTCTCCACATGTCTCCTCATGTCTCCACATGTCTCCACATGTCTCCTCATGTCTCCACGTGTCTCCTCATGTCTCCACATGTCTCCACATGTCTCCACATGTCTCCTCATGTCTCCACATGTCTCCTCATGTCTCCCCATGTCTCCTCATGTCTCCACATGTCTCCTCATGTCTCCACATGTCTCCACATGTCTCCTCATGTCTCCACATGTCTCCTCATGTCTCCTCATGTCTCCTCATGTCTTCACATGTCTCCTCATGTCTCCTCATGTCTCCTCATGTCTCCTCATGTCTCCTCATGTCTTCACATGTCTCCTCATGTCTCCTCATGTCTCCTCATGTCTCCTCATGTCTTCACATGTCTCCCCATGTCTCCTCATGTCTCCACATGTCTCCTCATGTCTCCTCATGTCTCCTCATGTCTCCCCATGTCTCCTCATGTCTCCACATGTCTCCACATGTCTCCTCATGTCTCCTCATGTCTCCTCATGTCTCCTCATGTCTCCTCATGTCTCCTCATGTCTCCACATGTCTCCACATGTCTCCTCATGTCTTCACATGTCTCCTCATGTCTCCTCATGTCTCCTCATGTCTCCTCATGTCTCCACATGTCTCCTCATGTCTCCTCATGTCTCCTCATGTCTCCCCATGTCTCCTCATGTCTCCACATGTCTCCTCATGTCTTCACATGTCTCCTCATGTCTCCTCATGTCTCCTCATGTCTCCACATGTCTCCTCATGTCTCCTCATGTCTCCTCATGTCTCCTCATGTCTTCACATGTCTCCTCATGTCTCCTCATGTCTCCTCATGTCTCCTCATGTCTCCTCATGTCTCCTCATGTCTCCACATGTCTCCACATGTCTCCTCATGTCTCCTCATGTCTCCTCATGTCTCCCCATGTCTCCTCATGTCTCCACATGTCTCCACATGTCTCCTCATGTCTTCACATGTCTCCTCATGTCTCCTCATGTCTCCTCATGTCTCCACATGTCTCCTCATGTCTCCTCATGTCTCCTCATGTCTCCTCATGTCTCCTCATGTCTCCTCATGTCTCCTCATGTCTCCACATGTCTCCTCATGTCTCCTCATGTCTCCTCATGTCTCCTCATGTCTTCACATGTCTCCTCATGTCTCCACATGTCTCCTCATGTCTTCACATGTCTCCTCATGTCTCCTCATGTCTCCTCATGTCTCCACATGTCTCCTCATGTCTCCTCATGTCTCCTCATGTCTCCTCATGTCTCCTCATGTCTCCTCATGTCTCCTCATGTCTCCACATGTCTCCACATGTCTCCTCATGTCTCCTCATGTCTCCTCATGTCTCCCCATGTCTCCTCATGTCTCCACATGTCTCCACATGTCTCCTCATGTCTTCACATGTCTCCTCATGTCTCCTCATGTCTCCTCATGTCTCCACATGTCTCCTCATGTCTCCTCATGTCTCCTCATGTCTCCTCATGTCTCCTCATGTCTCCTCATGTCTCCACATGTCTCCTCATGTCTCCTCATGTCTCCTCATGTCTCCTCATGTCTTCACATGTCTCCTCATGTCTCCTCATGTCTCCTCATGTCTCCCCATGTCTCCTCATGTCTCCACATGTCTCCACATGTCTCCTCATGTCTTCACATGTCTCCTCATGTCTGCTCATGTCTCCTCATGTCTCCACATGTCTCCTCATGTCTCCTCATGTCTCCTCATGTCTCCTCATGTCTTCACATGTCTCCTCATGTCTCCTCATGTCTCCTCATGTCTCCTCATGTCTCCTCATGTCTCCTCATGTCTCCTCATGTCTCCTCATGTCTCCTCATGTCTCCTCATGTCTCCTCATGTCTCCTCATGTCTCCTCATGTCTCCACATGTCTCCACATGTCTCCTCATGTCTTCACATGTCTCCTCATGTCTCCTCATGTCTCCTCATGTCTCCACATGTCTCCTCATGTCTCCTCATGTCTCCTCATGTCTCCTCATGTCTTCACATGTCTCCTCATGTCTCCTCATGTCTCCTCATGTCTCCTCATGTCTCCTCATGTCTCCTCATGTCTCCTCATGTCTCCTCATGTCTCCTC